TGTACAGTTGAAAGTTGTTGCATAGTTGCAAAGATGAACTTGTATGTTGTATTGTTTTCCATGAGAAAAAATCTGGGAGTACTTGTGCATTGTTGCTGGGTGGGAGGGGAATGCACTGGATTCTTGTGCAGCTGAAAACAATACTTTGGATCAACTATTGTCAAAAGCTGTAAATAATGACAGCTGAATAGCACTTTCATGTCAAAACACAATATAGCCCCAGAAATTCTGGGAAGAGGCAACAGGGAAGGATTGATGCCTTCATGTCCAGTGTGTGAGCTCCCCAGAGGAATGGGGCTGACCACCATCAGAAACGGAAGGCTGGAACTGATGAGTCTTTGGTCCACTCATGCCATTTCTATACTGCGCAACAGTCAAAGCTTTCTGGACACATCCTGGGAATCAAAACCCTAAAATACAATATAAAACCTTTCACATACAAAACTGTAAAATGATTTGAAACAGTTTAAAGTAATTAACCATACATGACCAGGCTAGATAATATATCTAACATTAAAAGGTCATCCTGTGCCACCAAATACCAGAAGTAGAGGAAAGTTTCAACCTGACACTGAAAGATGACACTGAGGGCACCAGGCAGACCTCACCGAGGAGGACACGCCACTCTTGGGGAGCCACCACCAAAAAGGACCTCCTTGCTACTACTCATTGAACCTCCCTGGGAGGAAAGCCCCAGTGGTGACCATCATTCCAGCGAGCCAATTCTTCCACTCTTAAAGCTCATGCTATTAAACGCAGCATACAAAATCTTGAAAGGGCCCACGGAACCCTCTCCTTTTATGCAGCAAAGAATTCAAACATACTTTTTCTGGAGTACAGACTGCAGTTACTGTTATGCACACAGCCTGGCGAAAAAAATTGACTGTTGACTGCAACAGAAGGCGAGAACTGCAGCCACTGAAAATTCCACGGGATCTCCTTCAGTTGGCTCGCCCCTGCCTAAGAAGAGGTCTAAACGCCGCTGGGCAGGAGCTGGATCCGCCGCAGCTGGTGTTAGCTCTGCAGTTGGCATCGGGAGGCCTCCTTCGCTGACATTTCTTAGTCAGAAAGCTTCCTCCCCCCCGAACACTTGTGCCACCCTAGCAACTGTGAAAACAGCCACAGAAACAGAACGATTAAATTATCCCCGAAAAAGGGCGCAAGGAGGCAGGAAGGAGCTTTTGCTGCCTCTGACAACTATAATTATCCAGACACAAAGGGAGGACAGATACTCCTACCAAGAAGAAGCTCTCGAGAATGTGATGCAGCATTCGCATGAATCCATGTACAAAATAGAAACCTGTGGTTAATTCGGCAGCTGCTATGAAGGCTGAAGTATATTTAGAAGGCGAGCCTGGCGGCATGATTAGCTGTGAAGTGACAGCAAAGAGACCCTTCCGGGGGCCCTTTCAGGTGGGAGTGGGCCCACTTGTTCAGCCCAGGGGTTGAATTCCAGTCCGGAGAAGCTCTGGGAATTCCGACATGCCAGTGGTGGCTGCGGCCGAAGGAAAAGGGCCAGGGCCAGATGTCCAACTTTTAACATTCTTCAACTTAACATTTAGCCACATTCAGGCAGCTCTAATACATGTAGATCTATCTGAATGTGGATTTTGGAACTTTTCTAAAGGACCAGTCCAGCTTGCTTTCGTTCTAGATAAATAGATAATTCTTTAGAGCTGTATCAGTTTATACACAAAATATAAATACATAGATATGGACACACAGTGTGAGTTAGTAGCCCTGCTAAAAATTCCAAGAAAATCGAATGACAAGGTCATCCAACAAGGGGAAAATGCATGAATGAAACCAGCATTCAAAGCCAACAGAGCATTGTTATCCCAAGTTGCGATGAGAAAATTTAGAAGGCCACCAATGTGTCCGTAGCAAAATGTTTTGCCAGGTGAGATGAAAGGTGAGTACTAAAATTCTAGCAGCTGCAAATAAGATGGATGTTGAGTGCAACTTGAAATCTCTGGGCCTTACACCACTTCGCAACCCTCCAAGTAAAATGTACTCCAATGGACATGAATGGTGGCTTACCAGAGGAGTCTTTTCCAACAAGGTGCTTTCCAGATGGGTAGTACTACATCTCCCATTATCCTTAGCCAGCACAGCTGAACTCCAACATATCTGGAGGTATCAGATTGTACTAGAACCTCAGTAAACCTGAATGAAATGTTATCCCTCCTTTCCAGGTCTGCAAAAATTGTGGGGTAGAGTATGTGTCAACTATCTAGAGGACTATAACACACAACCAGCATGGAGGCCGGTAACTCCTAAGATTGTGGGGCTCCTTATCCTACTATTCCAAGCTCTAGAGGAGCTTGTCATGCTGCAGAACTCCATCCCCCTCAAATAGGGTCACCAGCATGGGGCACCATGGATACCTCCTCCAAAGCTCAGAATAAAAGCTGCAGTGGGGGAGAAGCCACTGTGGATCAGAGTGCTGAGTTCAGCAGAGTGAGTTAAAAGCTTGTGCGGCGTTGGCTTAAATGGTGGCAGGGCTTGGTGGTTTTCAGATTTGTTTCAGTACAGACCAAGTGCTTCCTCCAACCCTTCCAAGACCCAACTGATCCCCAAGCATCTGAGCAAAAGCCTCTGGCCGGCTTATAAGGCTACGGCGGCAGAGCTGGGTCTAGCCACCCTACAAATGTTCATTTCCAGCAATGCCCTGAAGTGATGCTACATTATGGCATTGTGGGAAGCTGAAGGATTTGATCTTTCCAGCTGCTCTGCAAGTCCTGGAAAATGAGGCCTGAAAAAATTAAAAGGAGGCCTATAGCAGGCATCGGCAGTGGGCCCTCTCATGCCACTGGGGGGCCATGGCAGCTGCCCAAGATGCTGGGGGCTGCCCGGCACCAGCGCTCCTCCTGGGCATTCAGCAAACCTGCATGGACTCCTCAATTATAGGCTGCAAACCTGGTGTTTCTCATTTCAGAAACTTAAGCCGCTATTTCTAATGCACTATTTTCCAAGCCTCTAAACATTCTGCCTATGAAAACATGTGATATCATTCGATACCTGAAGACTCCGGTCAGCTGGATAGGATTCAGTTTCTGCCTAAAAAGATCAAGAAGTAAAGTCTACTGTAGGATATAGCCATTGACTTTAAGACCATGTGTGCTACATTTAATCTACCCTTTACTTTTCCCTCTTTCATGCTTCATGACAGTTAAAACTCCTTTATGTGCATTGCACAGATATAATAAAATAACCTGAGCAGTTTTAACTCTAGGTGACATCTTCACTTAAATATGCAGAAAAATAAAATAAAGCAGCAACTGAGTTTGTTTGTTTGTTTTGGGGGGGGGTTTTGGCCTTTCTACTTTTGCGATAAGTCCCCTCTCTTGATCTGACTGCTGAGAAAGCCCTAAGTCAGGCTTTCTCATTCTTAGAAGAGTTTTCACCTCATCTGTGTTGGACTGTTGTTGTTCAGTTGCAAAGTCGTGTCCAACTCTTTGCGACCCCATGGACAACGTTCCTGCAGGTTATGCTGGACTACAACTCCCATAATCCTCAACCACCCTGCAGGCTGGATTCCTAGACATCCAAGCTCATTTCACTCCATGGTGGGTTTCTTCAACACCCCAAGCTGCAGTCCAAAACAGCTGCAAGGTACGAAGTTGGGGAAGGCTGCCCCGGCCTCGCTCTATATGACTGAAGGAAGGCCTAGAAGCTGTTCCAGGACACACATTCGATTAACACTGCTCCTCAGCTTCGCTTCTTGGCCCTCAAGTCATCTTGCCTCATCAGAGTGTCTACCCTACAACCAGCATAGCCAGAGCTTGTGGGGTCTACATTGTATGTTGCCAAAATGTGAGATGAACCATCCAGAGCCGGCAGCAAAACAATGGTTCCCAGTGTGGGTGTGCTGGTGGAAATACAGACAAAATTAAGGCACGGGAGGTCGCTTAGCTATATGGTTTGTCTTCAAAACCAGAGGGGATTCCAGCCATTCCTCTCGCCAATCCACTCCTGGTTCTCACCAGGCTTTCCTTATTTCACCGGAGGAAGAGAAGCCTTTCTTAGTAAATAGTTTCTCCTGCTCAGCCTGCCAGCAGAACATGCTTTTTCCATCCTTGCCCCAACAGAGAACTTTTCATGGCCATGAAAGCACTTGGTCTTCACTTGGTTATTCCTTGGGGGGGGGGGGGTCCCAGTTTCTACACCCCCCCACACACACACATTTCTGCATCCCTCTTTCTCCACTGGCCCCACGGCTGTAGTAACACAGCACCCGCGAGGGGTCCGAGGGCATCCAGTACCTGCAGCAACGACTGGGGTGCAGCGCCCTCTGCCCACAAGATCCCAGCTGCCCAATTCGCCTTGCACTAGCTCCTCCCTTCCTCCCCAGCAGCCACCCAGTGTATTCAGTGCTTGCTGGGCAGGTCTGGCATCTCTTCCCATTGGGGTTTTCCTTTTTTCTTTACTCCCGATCACCTTGGGTTTTCCCCAACCCTGCTGATACCTCTTCCGGTGCATGAATGTTGGCGACATGCGCAATGCCGCTCTCCAACTGAGATCAGGTTTTATGGATGCTTGTAAGTCACCTTGGGTGCCATTTTTCTTGGTAGAAAGGCGGGGCACAAGCCCAGCCAAACAAACTACAACAAAGTAATCTGGTTTGTGGCAACAGATACACATCTGCCTTCCACCCACCGGTGTCGTTGCAGGTTCTCTTTTCTGCAGCTCCGAGTGGTAAAAGAAAGCCCCAGAGCACAGTCTACAGCAAGGTGGGGAAAGCTTAGGGGAATCTGAAGGTAATTCTCCTAGACCGCCCCCCCCCCCCGGTGGACTGCACTCCAGCCACTGCTGGCAGCAAAAGTCCACTTACTTTTGGACTGAGTGGCACATGGCATAGCATTTCCACAGCAGTGCTAGCCTTCTCTTGGAGGACTCCCAGGAACCCTGAGCCCAGAACGCCGCCTGAAGGGCACTGGGGCTCAGCTCGCTTCCGGGGTCTGACCCACCTACCAGTGCGCAGCTTAGCACGACAATACTCACGATTTGTCACGCCGGCAGGCCCGCCTCTGAGGGCTGGCTTGTCTGCGTCGAGGCGACAGGGACTTCCCTCGGGATCTCTGCTTGACTGGAGAATGGGCGGGCTTCAAAATCTAAAACAGGGATATGAGTTAGTGAAGAAAACAGCGTCCTCTATAATGGTGGGCTTTTAGAGGCACCTTTTTACAAAATATGTCTTTTGCCAAGCTTGTACTGATATGTTGAGGATTTGCAGAATTCAGTTGTGGCCGAAGGCGTTCTTTTCTTTTTGCTACAGATGCCAATCATCAAGGGCCATTGGCAGGACCGTAAGAACGTAAAAAAGAACCCAGCAGGATCTGCCTACCGAGGCCAGCATCCTGCTCCCACAGTGCCTACCAAGTGCCAGGCAAGATCTCAGCCCCCCGCCCCCCAGTCATGTTCCCCAGCAACTGGTATACAAGGCAAGCTGTCTCTGACCCTGGAGGACGTTCACAGCCATCAGCACCAACAGCCACTGGTCCCTTTCACTGATCACACAGGTGTCCCTCACTGATTCGCAAAGCAGCATTTGCGGATCTGCACATCCTTCTGTGGACTGAATTTATTTGCTTCTCTGCTTGTGCTCCTTTGGGTGGACAACGCTTTCGTTTCTGCATCCTAAGGGGGGCTTCAGTTCAGAGAGTTTAGGCAGTGTTTGCAAGGCCCTTCTGTGGGAGCATCCCAAGCAGATTGTGCGCAGAGTCACCGCCGGGGACCACGAAGGATAAAGAGGGGATTCCTCCTGGAAAGCATATTGACTTGGAAAGAAATCTCAGCAGTCTCAATCATGGCACTTCCTTCCTAGCCATGATGTACTCAGGGTTATAACCTGGGTGGGGAGGGGAGGTGAAAAAGCCCACATGCAATTCATTTCTTCATCGCTCTCAAAGGAAGCTGCCTCAGAGAACTGCAAGGGTGCCTATTTTGCTTTAATTGCCAGCAGATGGTCAGAAATGGACCACATTCTGTTTGCAGTCCGGGATATCCGTTCTGTCCTTCGCAGGACTGGCAGAGGAAGCTTGGCTCAGGTGGCAGCTTTGGCCAGTGCCCTGGCACAGCCACTGGGGAGCTGCACCATCTGGATCTGCTGCGTTGGGCACCCAAAAAGTGTCTTGAGCCATCTCCTGTTTGTCAAGTCCTGGAAAAGGCTCTTCAGCTCAGCCTTCCTATTAGAGCAAACTAAAGGAAAATTCACTCTGTTCCAGTTTCTACACCATATCTGACAGTAGCAGGCTAGACATTAACCTCCCTTAGCTGAGGAAGTTAATCTTTCAGAACTTAGAAGATGTTTTAAATATTTAAAATACACGGTCTGTATGCTTGTGGCTTAGTGGAAGGATTGAGCCTATCTCAAGTGGAAAGATTTTCTCATGTTTGAACTGTAAGGCCACATGTGCAAGGATCCCGCTGTACCAGATACACTTTACATCCTCTAGGTGTGCAGAGAGAGTCACATGGAAACTACACCAGTGGCTGTGGAACGTGGGTGGAAAGACGCTGCTGCGCTCACGTTCGGGATTCTGTGGGCAGCCTGTGAACCACGGTGGATTGCATGGCCCTTCCTATGGTCTTACATTCTGAAATGTCTCACACAAAGGAAGTGGAAAATTATTAAAATTTTCAGAGCCGTGAATGCAAATGCGTGTTTCAAAATTGATACAGTCAATTGTACATCCCATATACAAATAGCACACTTGTTCTCTGGGGTATGATGTATGCACAGGCAAAACACTACCATTCACAAATGAGAGGGAGCGATTGGGAGACTTGAAGGAACTCCAAGGGTTGTAAACTCCCCAAATGGGGAGGGGGGCAGCCAAAGTAGCTCTGCAGTTTTCTCACAGTGCTGCCTGTCTCTTGCAGTCAGACGGAAAACTGAGGGAGGAGCAACCTGGAAGAGAACAAGGCTGGCTGGAACCCGACGAAGAGCACGTCCAACAACAACTTTTGTTGCAGGACACACTTGCATTCCTGCAGTTGCCGTGCATCGGCCCCAGGACCTACATGCAAGCTGTCGCCCCCCAGAAAGTGGGCTCAGGTAGAAGACACGCCCAGGAGCAGGTGAGGCTTTCTCCGATACTTCCTGTTCTGTCATGGGTCAATCGAGCCTGGAGTGGCTCCCAGGTTGCCCCATCTGGTTGGCTACCCCGTCACCCCTCAGCGTGGAAGCTCTCCCTGCAAACCCCTGGATGCCCTTCACGTGGCCACCAAGGCACCGCTGCTGGCCCATGTGGCTGGCCGGCCCCTCCTTCAGGGGCTCAATGTGTGGGGCGCATGGTGTGGGGGAAGGAGGCAAATCAAAGCTCCTTCCTCCTGCCCAGGTATCGTATCTCGCTCTAGTAGGAATGGAACTGTCGGAATGCCCTTAATGGAGATAAAGAGATTAGAGCCCAAACTAGGCATTACTTTAAATCCATATCTAGCAGATTTTTCTTCATTTTTTTACTATAGAGTAGTTGCAAGCCTCCAAGTCCAGACTGGGTTTATAATAGGAGGGAAAGAATTTAAATTGCCTACAAGCCCCATATATACAAACCCCATATACACAAAGGTCTCAGTCCAGATCAAAGTTGACTCTGGAATAACAACAATGCCGCTGCAAGAAACAGATTTAAATATACTTCTGTTTGGCCCTCAGCCCATCAATTCAATGCAACGTTCAGTGCCACGATTGTGTTCAGTGGAGTTATCAGCTCCGAGGTGCAGCTTCTGACACTATTGCAGGGCATTTTTATGTGTATTCATGCTGGTCATGTGAATGGGAACCCAATAATCATTTTCCTGAATCTGCCGGTAAAACTACAATCAGACTAACTGCAGCACCCACGCTCTTGACTTGTCTTTTAGTTAGAGCAATCAATGCTTTGCAAACCTCTCATTTAGCCTTTTCTTTTATGCCCCTGCCAAACAAGGTGAAGTGCACTCAGTTGTAGAATGAACTCCTCCAGGAGGCCTCTCTGGTGCCTACACTCTGGTCTTTTCAGCATCGAGGGAAAGCTTTGTTATTTTTTCCAGACTTTCAGGGGCCCTTTCCCCCTACAAAAACTATGTGCTGGTGCATTTTTAGATCTTAGCCCTGCTGCTTGTTTTCATCCTGGCTACAGCTTTGATTTTGAAACATAAAATCATGGTTTCACATGGTTTCACATTCTGTTATGGTTTTAAGCTTTGCTTTGTAAACTGACCAGAAAGCTACATCTAAAGGGCAAAACAGGCAAATAGAGGGATACTACTCAGACAAAATCAGCTGGACCATATAGGAGGCTGCTTGGCTCAAAACTTTCCCAAACACCTAAACTTCCCTCCCTCCCTCCCTCCCTCCCTCCCTCATGAATACACACCTACAAACCCCTCTCCAAACACTATAGAAACAGCACATACCTTCATTCTCATATCCCTGGCGTATTTCTCCAACTCCTTCCTTATCTCTGAGCGCATCATCTTCGATATGTTGAGCACCAGCTGCTTCCACTCAATGGGCTGAAAGCTGTGCGGCTCGTGGGGGACATACAATCCAATTTTCACTTTTTTTACTGAGTGCAAGTACTTTTTATAGGACTCTTCAAATTCAAAGATGAGGTCACTCAGAGTCCGGTAGACCAAAGGCTTGTCCATCAGCTCTGATCTTCGACTCATTCCCAGTGATCCATATCGGCCATTGAAATAAATCCCAAGCACCACATGATGAAAATTGTTCCCTGAGAAGTGGGACTTAAAGCTGATCGGGAATCGCTCCACGGAAGGCTGCCCATTGGTTAAGTATCTAGTGAGGTTGTGTCAAGGCTGCAACACAGGAAGGCTCCCGAAGGAGGGAGTGCGCTCCGGCCACGCAAGATGCTCATGCGGCATTGCCGATGCTGTCAGCCCCTCATCCCACATCGCCCAATGGTCTAGCTTTGGCCCAGGAGTGGGCGAGTGTTGCTCTGCTGAGGACCACATTCCCTTGCAGAGGACCTGCTGGGGCCACTGAGACTGCGGCCAAAGCCAGCCATGGCAGGGCGGACTCCAAAAGTGAAATAGCTCAGACCTCTCTCTCAATTTCCCTCTCTCTCCCCCGCTTTCCTGTTCAGTGGGCAGCCAGATCAGAGAAGGGGCAGGTCATGCTTGCCAAAGGTCTGAACTGATCCCACAGAGGCTTTTGAAAGTGGGCTGCAGGCCGAATTTAGTTTTAGGGATTCATGTGGCCACTGGGCCTCCCCTGCACTAGTCCAACCAGGAATGGCTCTCCAAGAAGGCAGAAGGAGTGCTTTCTAAGGTGACTGTGTGCATTTGAAGGCATCCTCTATTTGAAGGGGGTCCAGTGCACCCCAGCTTAAAGATCAAGAACCATCAGAAGGGAGTCTACAATGACCTTGAAGTGGCCCATCAACAAGGAGCACCAGCACAACTTCTCCATCTCTACAGAGAGGGATTGTATTGCTCTTTACCTTGTAGCCTTTATTTCTAAATGTGCACCTCCATACAAATTAGTATCTACAAGTTGGTGTTCTCTGTGGTGCTTTTGCTTTGCAAGGTGAGGCCTAAGCAGCCATCCTGGGTTCTTCCTAGTACTTCCACCTAAGATCTTCCAAACTGGCTATGACAGGATCGGACTCGGCATCTCTTCTACATGCAAGGTATGTGTGCTCTCCCATGAAGCTGCAGCCCCTCACAGTTTCTAGTTCATCACAAGGCAGGATTTGGCAGTAGATCTTGCTTGCCATCAAAGACAACATTATTCAATTCACTATTAATGGCAGGGTTCAGAAAACACAACCTACACTCAAGGGGTGAGTATGGATTGAGTGTAGATTGTCCAATGACAACATCGTTCATGTTGTTGTTAAAATGTGAGTTACCAAGTTAACTGAACCCAGCCACATGAACAAATCATGATTTGTTGACCTCTCACCACTCACAAAAAACCCCTTATCTTTTGTTGTTAGCTCATGATCTATATATGGGTTGTCACCTTGGTCTGTTATCAAAGCTGGGTTCAGACATCACAATAACCCACAGTTCAAAAACAGCCCACAGTTCAATGACAGTCTGCGCTCACGCCTTCCTTCACTGTGGGTTGCCATGCTGTCTGAGGTCTCCATTTGGCTTGTATATCTCAGTGGCTCAAATGTGGGGTTGGCTGTAGGCCTCCTCTGAAAACACAGAGGACTTCCAGATGCATATTCCAACTTTCATACTGCCTCCATGAGGTTAAAATCAACTAATCATAAAAAGATGGTGTTTGTTCTATAAAACAAGAGAGTTCAAAGAAGATAGTGAGAGCAATGAACATTTTAGCCCATCCATCAATTGAGAGATGTGCACTTTTCAACAAATGTATAAAGACTTCCTATGATGTTGCTTTATTCATCTTAAACTCACTGTAACTGATCCTTTATTTTTATATCAAAGGTTTAAGATGTACCACTAGTCTACTAGTAATGGAGATGTTTGAACTCCTGGGATCCTTTAAATTCTTACTGAATATTGCACTCTGTATTTTATAGTGGTCCAGGTCATCTGTTAGGATAATTGCCGACAAAGAAACCTGGGTAGAAGATTTAACTGTGCAATCCTAAACCTGTTTATCTAGAATTTTCAGCTCTGTTCAGAGGAAGTTGTTGTCAAGTGTTTCTGAGTGCAGGCCAGTTATCTTGATGACTGAATTCTCCAAATTCTTCTGAATTTGACAGACATATAAGGCACAATGGAAAGGAAACATCTGCTCTGCAACTCCCAAAACTGGAAAGAGATGACAGTTAATAAATGTTGTGACAGAGGATTTGCTTCTCATAATATACATGCTTATTTTGGTCCCACTGAATAAAGTTACAGATTTTGCGGTATTTGTTGGGAGGGGGCTGTTTTCTGTTTTTGCTTAACTCTTTCCAAACCCTGCTGACCCTGCTTAAGTAGAGGTGAAGGTACAATGAATGTACAAACTGTAAGAATCAATCCATTTTCAACTGCTTTCTACTCACTGTCAAAAAAATGAACAAATTACCCATCTCTAGACATAACAATATCATGTAGTACAGAGAGCAAGCGCTTTATTCTGTCACCCTCCGTCACTCCAACCTGGGACTCCTTCACAAGAAAACAATAGGCACAGAATCCAACTGGGAAAAAATGTGCCTTCTCTCTCATTCTGAGGTAAATACATGCTATTCCTCCTGCATTCCCTCAGTCTTAGAAAGCTGCTTCAGCCTGCAGGAACTTCTTGACAGACTTTTATCCAAAACAATATCTCTGTGACCACTTTAGAAATGCATATATTTTTTTGATCCCATTTGGTCTCTCTTTTGTAGCTTTCAGACATCTTCCATTCCATCTGGTCTGCTCATTTTTTAGGAATGCATGCAAATTTCATTCTACCTATGCAAATATATGTTTGTGCAAATCCTCCCCAAACGTTTTTTAGATGCCTGCATGGAATCCATGCAACTCAGAAAAGACTAGTCTGCTGCAGAATCTGCAGGCCATGTTCTTAGAAATCCTAACTCATTTGAGTTCATTGCAGATTCCTCTGACATCTTTTACTGGTATGTACGCATGGCAGCCTGATGCCACTAAATATCATTTTGGAGTAAATTAATGGCAATGTATTTGCTGTGAGTGCCATGGACTTCAACAGTGCCACATCTGATCCTTTAGGCAGACTAGATGAAGGCATGCATGTGGAATGCAGCATCTCACCCACTTTTCTCAAGGACATTGCTAGAACTATACGCCGGTCCCTGATTGCATCTTCATGTCAAAACTTTCACACCAAAACAATCATGTTACATGGAGCCAAATTCCTCAAACCAGGGGTGGATGGATGAATGGATGGACAGACAGACAGCGTGAACTAAAACATCTCTTTACTGTCCTTCTATTAAAAAATTTCCAGGACAGTACCAGTATCAGTGTGGTACAACTTCTAAAAGAGTGTAATGATCTTAGAATTAGTATGTCACCTTGCAAATTGACACTTCATTTGCTGCACTGCTTTTAAGATACATTAAGTCAAGTAAATGTTGAACCAAAACCACAGGTATCCTTCTACACCCTCTTGTAGTTCTTCTTCTGTGTAAGTGACCCCTATAGCTAGTACATATATGTTAGCATCTATCAACATTTTCTTAAACTGAACTGATCTATTGCACTTATTCCCTTCCAATATGAAAGGGCTCCACACCAAGCAGCTCCTTGTTAAGTCTGCTCAGCTGCCCCTGCAGCCACCTGTCCCCCCGCCCCCCTTGACAGTCCTCAAGCCATCAGGTCCCCAGGACACTGCAATTTAATCTCATTACATTCTAAGCAGAAGTGGGGGCTCTGGAGGGCAGCCCTGCTGACTTTCACATACCACAAACACAATCGACTGGCAAAGTAACCTTCTGGTGAAGGAAGCTTGGATTCCAAGTACAAGTCAGCAGCCCTCCTCTCCTGGCCCACCAGCCCGCAATCCTGCATCTTTCATATGCTGCAGAACAGGCATGGATTCTCATCGGTGTACTGAAATTTATGTCTCATAGCCTGACAGTGCAAGCCTATGTATGTTTACTCAGAAGCAAGTGCCACTGAGTTCAATGGTGCTCACTCCCAGATGAGTGGGTATAAGCAGGAATCCCAAAAGGTGCCCCTGATTAATTGGATGATTGGTTCCACAGACTGGATATGTTAATACAAATGCTTACACAGGATGCAGGTGGCAAGCATCATCTTAAAAACATACCACCCCTTCTCTGATGTACAGGAATGTCTCCTCTAAACTATGTTGTTGTTATTGTTAGTCGCGAAGTCATGTCCAACCCATTGCGACCCCATGGACAACATTCCTCCAGGCCTTCCTGTCCTCCACCATCCCCCAGAGTCCACTCAAGCTCACACCAACAGCTTCAGTGACTCCATCCAGCCACCTCATTCTCTGCCGTCCCCTTCTCCTTTTGCTTTCAATTGTTTCCAGCATTAGGCTCTTCTCCAGGGAGTCCTTCCTTCTCATTAAGTGGCCAAAGTATTTGAGTTTCATCTTCAGGATCTGGCCTTCTAAAGAGCAGTCAAGGTTGATCTCCTGTAGGACTGACCGGTTTGATCGCCTTGCGGTGCAAGGGACTCGCAGGAGTCTCCACCAGCACCACAATTCAAAGGCCTCAATTCTTCGGTGCTCAGCTTTCCTTATGGTCCAACTGTCACAGTCATACATTGCAACTGGGAAAACCATAGCCTTGACTATACGCACTTTTGTTGGCAGGATGATGTCTCTGCTTTTTAGTTCCTCTAAAATGCTGTCTAGATTTGCCATAGTTTTCCTCCCCAGGAGCAAGCATCTTCTAATTTCTTGGCTGCAGTCCCCATCTGTGGTGATCTTGGAGCCCAGGAAAATAAAATCTGTCACTACCTCCATTTCTTCCCCATCTATTTGCCAGGAAGTGAGAGGACCGGATGCCATGATCTTAGTTTTCTTAATGTTGAGTTTCAAGCCAACTTCTGCACTCTCCTCCTTCACCCACATCAAGAGGCTCTTTAGTTCCTCTTCACTTTCTGCCATTAGAGTGGTATCATCTACATGTCCGAGGTTGTTGATATTTCTCCCAGCAATCTTAATTTCAACTGGTGATTCATCTAGCCCCGCCTTTCTCATGATGTGCTCTGCATATAAGTTAAATAGGCAGGGTGACAGTATACAGCCTTGCTGAACTCCTTTCTCAGTTTTGAACCAATCAGTGGTTCCGTGTCCAGTTCTCACTGTTGCTTCTTGACCTGCATATAGGTTTCTCAAGAGACAAATAAGATGGTCTGGTACTCCCATCTCATTAAGAACTTGCCACAATTTGTTGTGATCCACACACTCAAAGGCTTTAGCATAGTCAATGAAGCAGAAGTTTTTCTGGAACTCCCTAGCTTTCTCCATGATCCAGCGTATGTTGGCAATTTGATCTCTAGTTCCTCTCCCTCTTCGAAATCCTGCTTGTACTTCTGGTAGTTCTTGGTCCACATACTGCTGTAGCCTAGATTGTAGGATTTTGAGCGTAACTTTGCTGGCATGTGAAATGAGTGCAATGGTGTGGTAGTTTGAACATTCTTTGGCATTGCCCTTCTTTGAGATGGGAATGTAAACTGACCTTTTCCAATCCTGTGGCCACTGTTGAGTTTTCCAAGTTTGCTGGCATATTGAGTGTAGCACTTTTACTGCATCATCTTTTAAGATTTTGAATAGTTCAACTGGAATACTTGCCACCTCTTCTTAATCTCTTCTGCCTCTGTTAGGTCCCTGACATTTTGGTCCTTTATCATGCCCATCTTTGCATGAAACGGTCCCTTCTCATCTCCAATTTTCTTGAAGAGATCTCTGGTCCTCTCTGTTCTATTATTTTCTTCTATTTCTTTGCTCTGTTCATTTAAGAAGGTATTCTTATCTCTTCTAGCTGTTCTCTGGAATTCTGCATTCAATTGGGTGTATCTTTCTCTTTCTCCCTTGCCTTTCGCTTCCCTTCTTTCCTCAGTTATTTGTAAAGCTTCCTCAGACAGCCATTTTGCTTTCTTGCATTTCTTTTTCTTTGGGATGGTATTAGTTGCTACCTCTTATACAATGTTGCGAACCTCCGTCCATAGTTCTTCAGGCACTCTATTTAACAGATCTAATTCCTTAAATCTATTTGTCACCTCTACTGTATATTCATCAGGGATATGATTTAGGTCATACCTGAGTGGCCTAGTGCTTTTCCCTACTTTCTTCAATTTAAACCTAAATTTTGCAACGAGAAGCTCATGATCTGAGCCACAGTCAGCTCCTGGTCCAGTTTTTGCTGACTGTATAGAGCTTCTCCATCTTTGGCTGCAGTGCACATAGTCAGTCTGATTTCTGTGTTGTCTGTCTGGTGATGTCCATGTGTAGAGTCGTCTCTTGGGTTGTTGGGAAAGAGTGTTTGCTATGCCCATCGTATTCTCTTGACAAAATTCTACCAGCCTGTGCCCTGCTTCATTTTGTACTCCAAGGCCAAACTTGCCTGTTATTCCGGTTATCTTTTGGCTTCCTACTTTAGCATTCCAATCCCCAATGATGATAAGGACAACATTTTTTGGTATTAATTCTGGAAGGTGTTGTAGGCCTTCATAGAACCGGTCAACTTCAGCCTCTTCAGCACCAGGGGCTGGGGCATAGACTTGGACTACTGTGATGCTGAATGGTTTGCCTTGGATTCAAACTGAGATCATTCTGTCATTTTGGAGATTGTATCCCAGTACTGCTTTTCCTACTCTTTTATGTCTATGAAGGCTACTCCATTTCTTCTGAGGGATTCTTGCCCACAGTAGTATACCTGATGGTCATCTGAATTAAATTCACCCATTCCTGTCCATTTTAGTTCACTGATTCCTAAGATGTCAATGTTCAGTCTTGTCATCTCTTGTTTGACCACATCCAGTTTGCCTTATTCATGGATCTTACATTCCAGGTTCCTATGGAATATAGATCTTTGCAGCATCGGACTTTCCTTTCACCACCAGATACATCGGCAACTGAGTGTCCTTTCAGCTTTGACCCAGTCGCTTCATTCTTTCTGGCACTACCAGTACTATCCCTCTGCTCTTCCCCAGTAGCATATTGGACACCTTCCGACCTGAGGGGCTCATCTTCTGGCATCATATCATTTTGTCTTTTGGTACTGTCCATGGGGTTTTCATGGCAAGGATACTGGAGTGGGTTGCCATTTCCTTCTCCGGTGGGTCACGTTTTGTCAGCGCTCTCTGCTATGACCTGTCCGTCTTGGGTGGCCCTGCAGGACATAGCTCACAGCTTCATTGCGCTACACAAGCCCCTTCGCCGTGACAAGGCAGTGATTCATGAAGGAGCCTCTGAACTATGCCTGCCACAAAACCTGTGTATCCTTTACAAGGACAGACATATACTGCTTTTATCCATGTAAATTTAATCAAAACATTACGGCAGTTTTTTCCAACTCAGGACCTTCCAAATTTTTACAAATATGGAAAAAATTGGAATAAAATTATGGAAAACTGCAGAATCTGCACAACCTGGCAAGGCTTGCCTGCTGAAGAATCTATATGGTGAAGTTTTAGAAATCCAAGCAGATGGGTCCATTGCAGATTTCTCCGACATCCCAACTTCTAACCCTTCCATATTTTCTCACTGTATCTTCCATCCTTTTCCTTGCAGCAGAATACGGGGTAACACAGTTTGCTGTGTGTATCTGGGGCGCAGGAGGTCTGTCTTTACAGGAAGAGTTACAGGAAGCCCCTGTTTGCACTCTCCACCAGCAACGTTTCTTTCCGCAGCCTCATGGCTGTCCTCCAAGGACGGAACTTTCTCTCTTCCTTGGGAAGGTGACAGTGGAAAAAATTTATGTCCCTAGAACACTGTCTCAGAGATCCTAGGACTGCAGCCTCTATTAATATATTTAAAATATAAACATTTTATCTGCCTACTTAATGGATAAAGGCTCTTTTGTGGTCATTGTTTAACAGATTTTTAAATAGCCTTTTAAGATATGTGATTCTCCTTAATTGTTTTTAACGATAGCTGATGCTGTTTTAGAATTAATATTGTCTTGGTAGAAAGGCAGGATGCAATATTTTCAATGCAAATGCATAAAGAAATCCACAGGGCATGGAATCAGATGTCACATTACTGGTGCTTGCTCAGGGTTTGTGTGCGTGCATGCTAGTGGAAATTTTAAAATCAGGCATGAGTCTTATCTCAAGAGGGTTGTGATCAGAGGAGGATTTCTGTGGGGGAAAAGCCTGACAAGATGTGCCAGAAAGTTGGCCAGATCCCTTTGGGAACCTTCAGCGAAGAAACCTATATACATCCAGGTGCTCGCTTTATGGCAGCAGTAAAGGTTCCATTCAGTGCTCAAGAGTTTATCCTGCAGCCATGCAGAGTGAACTGCTTCCTCCATCTTCATGAAACATTATTTCAGAAAGCGTCCTGCACTAAAGGAGTACCGTAAAACCTAATCAACAAACAAAAAGAGATTAAAGAAGTGATCTTTCACTTGTAAAAGCTGAAAGTGCAAGCTGTCAAGCAGCCCGATTAAAATGAAATCCCACTAATCTGCTTGGCACTGAGGAAAGTTGTGGTTTCTTATAAAAAGTTAAAAATTGATCTGAGTACTGCTGCTTTAGCTTCAGCTTGTCCCAAATTCGAGCAGCAGTGAAGCTTCTCATACCACACAGAAGTTGTCATGAGCTTTATCTTATGCTGCAGAAGGAAAGGAACTTAAGAAGCTCAGTTGAGCACTTGACATTCAGGAAAGAAGGCGAGTGCTAAATAACTTTCCAACTGCAATCAGGCATATGCTCCCACTGGCCTGGTCACCTATGGTGAATAATACTCCTCTTAAGGTGATTAGATGGAGAAGCTGTTGGAAGTTAGAAGAGAGAGGGATTTTATTATTTTATTTTGTTATATTTTATTATAGTTTTATTATTATTAATCTTATTTATCTCTGGTTATCTTCCTCCAGAGAATTCAAGGTAGTGTATCTGATTACTCCAACCATTTTAACCTACAACAGTTCTGTAAAGCAGCTTAAACTGACAGCAACTAACCCAAAGCTACCCAGAAAGTTTCATGGTTGAAACTTATTTTTTACTACCCTGACTAATCTGATATCTCTTGGAATAATATGAGTGATAAAATCACTGTTATTTAGTATTTGTTTTAATTTAGTTTATGAGTGTGTGTGTTATTGTCTTTGCAGCTGCTTTTAACTTCTTGTAAATGAATTTTAATGATTATACTTTTGCATCCTGTTTTGGCTAATTTTGCAACTCCTTTTGGCCAAGGAAAAGCAGGGTAAAATATCGTTCACTAATAAATATGAAATTGTGAATTCTTCCTTGCATTTCCCACTTTCCCAGAAACCCTTTCTGTCTAAGAAAACACTATTAACGGTGTGATTCTATAGGTAAGAATCCAAAACAATGGAATGCTCTGATCTCAGAGGCTTCATTCTACCCAGAGCTAGGAGGAATGGCAGGCGCTCCCCACTGCCACCCCCATTCTGTCCTCCTGAAAGAGAATTTCCGCGAGATGGGCCTCAGTGTCTATCTAACGTCCCTCCTGCGCCAGGGGCGTGACTGTATGCTTCTCCTTGGATCCTCAGCCAGCCCTTCCCCAACTACTGGCACACTCCCAAAACATCCATTTCCAACCTTGTAAAGGGAGATGCCATGCAAACTTCCACAGTCGCTAGGCAGAGCCAGGCTAGATGTTCTGATATCAGAAAAAACTCTGAGGTCAGAGCTCTAATATCTTGCAATGGGGGGCTGAAACAATCCTGGGACTCTATCTATGGATGTGGGATTGTTCTCTATGGTCTGTAAAAAGCTCATTCTACTTGCTTGAAAGAATATGAACAAGGAATCTAGCTCCCATCCAAAAATGAACTGCTCTCTCACAACTTACCTTTGCCTGGCATTATTACCCAGTGTCAAAAAATTCAACAACCACCTTCATTAAATAAGCTGAACCAAGAATTTGGAGGCAAAAGGATACATCCCCAGGATAACTGCTTCAAGGCATTTGATAGGTAAAGATTCCCTGGTCATTTCTCGTGCTGATTCCATCAGCCTGAAAAAGCACAGGAAGGAAGGGGAAATAGAACACATCTTTGATCAAATATCCAGGCGAAGAATGGGTATGTCTGAAGGTTGCTGCCATATCCTGTCACCCAGGGAAGGAGCATCGTCTTTTCTACTGATATGTGAATACTTACATAGGAAAAAAAACAAAGAAAAGCATCCTTGTATTGTTTGCTCTGCTCTGGATCCACCATTGGGTGACTTTGGGAACCATCCTCTGTATTTTGATAAAAATGCCCTACAATTCCCAGCATTCCCCAGCCAGGAATGCTCACTGGGGAATGCTGGGAGTTATAGACCTCTTTTCTGTGTCAACATGCAGGGGATCATCCCCTTCATAACTAACCTGTTTTACCCAAATTTCCCCTAGCCTCATGCAAGTTAATCAAATTATGGAACTGTCCATATTGGCTTGCCCACCATTTCTGGGTTTATCCATTTTATTATTTTTTAGTTTAAAAAATTAAACTAAAAAATCCAGTACTGCTCAGGGCATGAAGGCAGGCGAGGCTATTCTAATCTACAGGAGGCACAGCAACCAAAATATGCACACTTTTGAGGGCACCATCCTGCACATGCTCAGGCAGAAAAAAAGTCCAACAAATCCCAGCATGGCTTGCTGAGGAATACTGGGAGTTGTAAAACTTTTTTCCGTCTCAGCATGCATAGGCTGGTGCCAAAGCAATCTAAGCTAGATGATTCTAGAGTTAAAAATGGAGATAATCCCCTATACAAAATTGTCATCTACTGCACATCGTGTGTGATCTTTGCTCCTCCCAAATGAGTTTGAGATAGCTCCTTAAGACTGTCTAGCTTGGGTTAGTTAGGGCACAATCTTACGCACAGTGAGGCAGACAAAAGTTCTACACTTTCTTCTTCCTCAGCACAGATAGGGTGGTGCAGCGAGAACCAAGGGTCAGTCTAATCTAGCCCAGCGTCCTGATCACACAGTGGCTGAGCCGTTGCCCCCCAGGCGCCGCAAGCAGGACATGAGCGTGACAGCCCCCTCCTGCCCACATCCGCCCACCGCCGGTACATGCCAGCAGGCTTCCGAGTGCAGGGGCAGCCACACCCCACGGTAGCGGAAAGCCAAACGAGGTGGGAAAATGGAGGGCTGATCCATCTGTTCCTTTACAGCCACCCAGAGCAGCTCCAAGAAGTGAGATGGAGCAAAGAAAAGTTTTGTTTGTGACTGTATAAACCAGATCTACTTCTTTGAAAGCCTCTGAGTGTATTCCAGCTGTAAATCTGCTAAAACCTCATCTCACTCCGACAAGAGACACTCCCTGGCTTCCTGGCAGATTCTGTTCTGAAACAGCATGCGAGATGGACTCCGTCTTTCTCGTTTTCCACACAGTTCTGGTCCCTCCTCTCCAACTGGGCCATATGCTGCCTGATGGGCCAGTGGTCACGGGGACAGTGGAGGGCACATGCAGCCATCAGGACTAGGAGCCCTGGGTGGCCTTCTCCCCCGTGAATCGTCCACCCCACTTGGAAAGCCGTCCAACCTGGGGGCCACCATCCTACCTCATGGAAGTGAATTTCGCAGCTTAGTTGCGTACTAGGTAGACGGATTTCCTTTCCTCTGTACCAGATCTCCCACCGATTGTCGTGAGCCAGGCGCCCCCTCCCAATGAAGGCTATTGCTAAATGAGTCTTTACTCCAAAAAGGTACGAGAGTCTTTATTTCAGATGGCTACACAGTATTCACAACACTGACAATACTCTCAAGGTAGAAAGCTGACCTCTCGCTCTGACTCACCTCAGCCCACACTTTGCTTAGGAGCCCTTCCGGGCCTGTCCCTGCCGCCGCTCCTCGAATCGTGCGCCTGCACAATCAAGCATCCCAAATGATCTCTGCAGCCTCCCCAGCCTGCTCTCCATCAGCTTTGTTCTCACAGTTAAGAGTAGTATCAAGCCCCCTTGTCTGTCCTTGAAGTGTTTTGATCCTGCACTGCCTCAGCCTGCCCCCTGGGGGTGGCTCCTCACCTGCCACGGCTCTGGTCATAACATCTGGAGAACTAGGGCGAGAACGCTGCACTGGTGCTGAAATAATAATTAACTCCTCTGCTTCTAGTCTGGAGCTCTGGTTCTGGCCACGGCCTTCACTCTCTTGTGCGTGCGTGGGAATCTCATCCAAGCACATGCGCACGACACCCATCAGCTTCATGGGATGAGCTTTTTGTGTTCTAGGAAGAGGAAGAAAAATGCCTCCTTCTCCATTTCCCCCACCAAGCATCATTCCGCACACGTCTCCCCTTACTTGCTCTTTTCCCCTAAGCTAAACACTCTCAGCTGTTGTGACCTTTCCTTAAAGGGAAGTTGCTTTGCACCCTTCATCCTTTTAGTTGCCTGTTTCTGCTTGAACAGCTGTGAAAAAATGGCTTGACCAGAGACTTTAGCAAGGGAATTTATGTGCTTCGCCTCACGGAACCCCTGCAAGGGCCTGTGTGCCTTCGCATTCCAGAGCAAGGGCCCTCTAGCCCTACCCAGCGCAGCTCCCTCACTCTGTAGGACTAATTCACTTGCAGTGGGTTCCACACACCCCTGGGGAGGTTGCCACTTTGTGGTGTGCTCCGCCTGCCATACACAGGCCCTGTCCACACAGGTGGGCAGCGCACAGCTGGTGGGGGTGGAGAAGAGCAAACTTCAGTTCTCCTGAAGTGATGCTTAACTGCGTTTTAATCAATTATATTTAGCATGCATTATTTAATCACATGCTTATTCAATGAAGGTGGCCAGAAAGGGTTTTTAAAATATTTTTAAAAATATCTAGCATGATTAAGAGGAGCGATGCTAGATATTGAAAAGGGTGTGCGTCTTTAAAGGAACCTGTGGACACCACTCTTTGAAAATGGATGTACAGTCAGAGGAGGGGGAGGCATTTGATTTTGGGGGGGGGGACCCCTCAGGCAGAAAGTTTCAAGAGAGCACTGTAGGAGGTCAAGCACATGTGTGATGAGCCAGTTCATTTAGGGCGATCTGATGCAACAGAGATCGCCCGAGTCCCACACAGTTATTTCAGCAAGGCAGTGGGGCAGAGGGCCTCCCAGAAAGCTGGGGCTCCACATAAAAGATCCAGGGCTCCAGGCCTAGCAGGCTGCAGTCCCAACACCACCTCTGCCCCTCTTGCATGAGAGTACTCATTGATTATTTATAATATGGCTGGAAAAGCCATTTAACTGTAATAGAATGATTATTTTTTAAAGCATATGTACTGAAAAATGTGGTGATTGAAATGATGAATTTTAAAATTCTATTCCTTAGTTTAATATTTAAGAGCTTTTTAAAAATGTGACTGGAAAAACAGTATAACACAAATTAAAGGACTGATGGAAAAAGAGATGTAGCGATCAAATGGCACTTGTCACAAAGTTGGTAAGAAAAGAGCCGTAATTGGCCCACCTACCCATCGCATCCCATATCACAACCTAGCCTTTTAAAGACAGAAGAGTGCATCTGGCACTCAGGCAGATGCAACATGCTGCCCTCCAGACTAAAAGGTGAAGTTGCCCCATGACGGCAAGCCCAGCCATGCCTGACTCTCGGGGGCGGTGCTCATCTCCGTTTCCTGGCCGAGGGAGCCAGCGTTCGTCCGCAGACAGTCTCCGTGGCCATGTGGCCGGCATGACCAAACACCGAAGTGCACGGAACGCTGTTACCTGCCCACCGAAGGGGTACCTTTCTATCTACTTGCATTTGCGTGCTTTCGAACTGCAAGGTTGGCAGGAGCTGGGACAGAGAGCGGGAGCTCACCCCGTCTGCGGATTCAAACTGTCGACCTTTCGATCAACCAGCCCAGCAGCTCAGCGGTTTGAACCACTGCGCCACCCGCATCTCTGCCCTCCAGACTACAGCTCCCTTAATCCTGCTCACTGGCCATGGTGGCTGGGGCAGATGGCAGTTGTAGGCCAAAACATCTGGAGGATGTCAGGTCCCGTGCTAAGAGGATTTTCACATCAATGTGGCACTACACTCCTGTCTTTTGTAGAAAGTCAGACTCTCTGAGAAAAAAGATGGAAGCTACGGGAGAACCCAGGATGACTACAGATGGATGACGACTTCTGTGGAATATCTCTGTACAATGTGAGAGAAGGAGGCATGCCAATTCCACGCTGAAGGCCTGATGCACCTTCGACTACTGAGCTCAGAGCCTTCTCAGAGCCATTGTTAGCTTAGGACACAGTTCTGCCAAGTATATTTAGACATGGCTGGCCAGGAGAACTGGGCACTGTAAGGAGTTCCTGCTGTCCGAGCATGCACAGGACTCGCTTTAGGAAGTGTTCTTCTGAAAAGCTTCCTGGGGAGTCTCTGAGCTTAGCACTGTGGCAGGAGTTTTTTCTGAGCCAAGAGGAAAACAGAGAGATGGCTGGGCCTGAATTCTGGGCCTCAGGTGGCACTTAAAGGGGCAAAGCAAAGGGAACCCCTTGTGCTTGGGTGCAATTCTCCTCTGCGAACAGGAAAAGGGACCATGTATCACCAATACTGTTTCTGCTGACCCTTGCACCAAGGCTTTCCATTCTTTGAGCTGAGACGCCTCCCATATCTAGAAGACACAGGCCTTTGGCTGTGCCCCTGTGTGGGGAATAAAGGAGCAGGTACTCTTGGTGCGCGTTCCAAGGTCAAGCAGATTTGGGCTCATCAGACGAAGAGGGGCCCGGGGAACCAGAATTCTCAGATGCTGAAATAGGAGAAGCCGAGGGGCTTATTGCAAGGGCGCCTTCCCCTAGTATTCAGGTGGACGTGGAGAATAATGCTCTGTTTTCTTGAAGGATGTAGCAGTTCCTCCCTCCCTCCCTCCCTTCAAATATCTCCCCAGCACCCGTGCGTTTGTACGAAGCTTTGGCATAACTCCCTAAAATTCTTCCAATCTACTGCAACTAAGCTTGTAACTAACTCTAAGCGCCATTATTCCTTCATTCCACTTATATCTCTCCTTTGTACTTCTTGGGAGAAACCCAAGGCAACTTGCATAAGCTTACTTTTTCT